ATCCACCCGCCTCGGCCCCCCAGAGTGCTAGGATTACAGGCGTGAGTCATCACACCCAGCCAAGACCAGCCTTGGCAACATAGCTAGAGCCCATCTCTACAACAAAAATTTTAAAATTAGCTAGGCATGGTGGCACACACCTGTAGTCTCTGCTACTCAGGAGGTTGAGGCGGGAGGATTGCTTGAGCCTAGGCGTCTGAGGCTGAAGTGAGCTATGATGACACCACTGCCCTCTAGCCTAGGCAGCAAAGTGAGACCCCATCTCAAAAAAAAATTGAGTTTCTTATTTCTTATACCACCTCTCCCACCAGTGGTGATCATTAATATATTTGAGTGAATCTAGGAATTTTCTGAAATAACCTAGAGTGGGTATCAAATGAGGATAATTATACATTCTGTAATAGTCATATACCATTCAGCAGTTTGCTTTTTTGTGCTGTATTTTTTATATCTTTCCATATAAATTATTTCTCATTCTTTTTAATGAATATTTGTATTGATTGTTACTTGCCTGTTTTGCTTTTTTACATAAAAGGGCAGTAGCGGGGGTGGTTATGATGATGGAACCAGTCTGTGTGGTGCCGGCTGTGTAAGTCCGTGTGTCAACCAGGATATAGGAAGAAAAGTGTGGAATGTAGGCTGTCAAGTGAATAGGCATGTATTACAAGTGAATCACATGACCGCATGGAAGGTGTGAACTAAAATAGAATTTTAAGGCTCACGCCCCACCGGCTGACTAAATGGACCCCCTTGTGGCCAAAGGAATATCCTAAAACTAAATTGCCTGCCAGGACGAAGGTCAGACATGCCTTATCATGCCCCCCTCCCTTCTTGGGGACATCCTTTGTAAACCATTAACGGGCCTAAGGGTATTGAGGACTAAACTCTGATTTTTTTCTTTTGCTCAAAATTCCTTCCTAAGGAGGCCAGATGAGTCATGCCTACAAACGATAAGATCTCAGTAAACAGGTTTTTCATGACGTTGTTTACTTCCCAACTTGATTCTGGTATAACATCATGTGATAGATAAAAAACCCTCAAACATTCCTTTCAGCCGATTCCTGGTCTTTTGGACAAAACCTAACTCTTTCAGCCAATGGTCAACTAATGAATCCCTAAATCCACCTATGATTTGTAAGCCCCTGCTTTGAGATGGCCCGCCTTTTTGGGCCAAATCAATGTATGCCTCCCAGATATTGATTTATGACTTTACATGTAACCCTTGTCTCTCTGAAGTGTATAAAACCAAACTGTAACCCAGCCACACCGAGTCCACTGCTCAAGACCTCTTGGGTGTGGCTCCGGGTCATGGTCCTCAAATTTGGCTCAAAGTAAATCTCTTTAAAATTATTTTACAGAGTTTGGTCTTTTTTCCGTTGACAAAGGGGACAGGGAAAAAAGGAGCTGACCTAAGTGACTTTGGAAAGTATATTTTATCTGAATACTGGAAGGCTAAAGACAAAAAGAATTGTACACAAACACTGTACTCTAGTTGGTAAATATGTTCCGGAGTTGATTTAGCAATTCTGAAACTACTTTTGTGCACACGCATGTGTGTGTATGTATGTAACATACAAATAGGGTTGAACAAATAAGTAAATATGTGTAGATAATGTGAGCCAGGTTGCTCGCTGCTAGAGAAAGAAGTTACAAATAAAATAGGAGGAGGGAGAGGTTAGCATGAACCCTGAGAGGCTGGATTAAAGTTGGTAGGAGGCATCAGTGTGAATTCATGGGTTTTGTTTAATATGTGTACAGACACATAGAAATAGAGATGTGTGTGTATAAATATAAATATATATATATATATATATATATATGTCCTTGCTTTATTCACTCGGAGAGACCAGAAGCAGTGACACACTCTGGTATCAATAAGCATTCCTGTTACCCAGATCTTGAAGGGCATGTGGTCTCTGTCATATCCTTCCCAGTAACACATCATGTCAGTCTAATGAGCAAATACCAGACAAACCCATCCTGGAACATAAAAAGGACATTAGTGGAAAAATTGGGTGGGGGGAAAGCCTGTAGTTTAGTTAATATTATTATACCAATGTTGACTTCTTAGTTTTGATAATTATTCTATGACAGCATTTCTGAGCTTTGGCACTGTTAACATTTTCGGTTGGGTAATTCTTTTTGTGGGGGCTGTACATAGCAAATTGTTCAGCAGCATCCTTGGCTTCTAATACTAAATACCAGTAGCCAGCAGCATTTCCTGCCCCCATTTGTAACAACCAAAAATGTCTTAAGATACTGTCAAATGTCCTCTGAGGAACAACATGGCTCCTGGTTGAGAACTTCTGTTTTCTTATTATGTAAGGTGCTAATCTAAGTGAAGGCTGGGTGAAGGGCACATGAAAACCCCATTGCTTTTGCAACTCTGCCCTAAGTCTAAAATTATCTTTTAAAAAGAGAGATCATTATTATGCTAATACATGCTTATAAAAAAGTCAAAATGTTATATTAAAACTTGAGTTGCTCATTTCTTCCTTCACCTGCATCACCAGTGGTAGTCATTAACATATTTGAAGGAATCCAGAAATTGGCTGTGATATAAATTGTGTTTTTACACAATTGAGGTCATTATACATACTCTAATACTCATACTGTTTGGTAGCTTGCCTTTTTATGCTTTGTATCTTTGCTACCTTTCTATAAGTGATCCATTCATTCTTTTTAATTAGTTTTCTCTGTTGATTTTTGGGGTTTTGTTACGTTTTCATACTTAAACTATCATTGCTGTGCTGTACTAGGACTTGCTTTTGCACCCAGCAAACAATACCAGCTAACATCTATGTATCCTTGCTATGGGCCAGGTACTGTTTTCAGTGTTTATATCGATTAACTCATTTAATCTTCACATCAAACCGAAGAGGTATGTATTATTGCTTACCCCCACTTTGCAGATAGGGAAGCTGAAGTGCACAGGTTAAGTTGTTCAAGGTCATAGCTAGTAGCTGGAGCCAGGCTTTGAACCCAAGTCTGGCTCCAGAGTGCTCTTAACCTTCTCCCGCGTCCTGCTTCTACTTTGTTGTGTACATGTTTCCCTCTGAGTTCACGTCGCTGAGCCTCATTCTTTTTAACGGTCACATAAGGGTCTGTGCTGTAGATGAACTGCAGGTGAACTCTTCTCTGCTGGTGTCTTTGACTTCCGTATCTACCTGCAGCCCACAGTTTCCTGGCCCTGGGTCCCCAGTTACCGATGAGCTCCGCAGACTCTATTTTAAATTGGCTCAAACTGAGCTCATCCTCCTCCCACCCGCACCTCCTCTCATGTTCTCATCTGAGTGTCAATGCCAGCACCCACCAGTCGCCCTCACGGGAGGAAGGAACCAGATTGAGGTGGAATAAGGGAAGTCAGGTTCCAAAGGACGTGGAAGGCATTTGGGTCAGTAGCAAAGAGAACAGGTTAGCCTTGCAAAAAGTAAAAGGGGCTGGGTTAGCTTTGGACATCTGGAGGAAACAGGTGGGAAGAAGGAGGATGGAGGAGCCAGATTTAGGCTTCGGGCACTTAGGTGCTCATCTCCAAGGCAACTGCGTTGCTATGGCAACAGTAAAGGCCCCCGCCACCGCTCCCAAGTACCTTGTCTGCCGCCGTTACCGCCACACCACCCAGATGCTTCCGTATGGGGGCCTGGAGGCCTGCGGACCTCCCGGAACGGCGCAGGAAGGCGGGAATCGCTGCCTCCTTAGCCAATCAATAAGTTCGAGGCCGCGCGGAAGGGCTCTGCGACGAAGGCGCCAAGAAGAGGTCGGAACGTTTTTGGCGCTCGCCAAAGGGCGTTGAGAAGGGCGGGCTCGAGTCCCTTCCCCACCACTGAGGAGCCGAGGAGAGCACGGGGCGGGGCCGGGGCGAGGCCGGCCGGGGGCGGGGCTCAGCCAAATCGTGGGAGGGTCCGCCCACCCTCGCTTCTGCCCAATATAAGGCCAGAGAGCCAGTCCGGACGGCCGGGATCCCCAATGAACGTCGCCCCCTGGCCCCAGTGCGGGGGTCTCTGAGCCAATAGGCGGCGGCGGCGGGCGGGCGCAGGCGAGCCGCGGCGCGGCGGAGGCGGAGCAGGCGCTGCGGCAGGAGGGAAGATGGCGGACGAGGAGAAGCTGCCGCCCGGCTGGGAGAAGCGCATGAGCCGCAGCTCAGGTGCCGCGGGGGTCGGGGCTGGGGCGGGGCCGCGCGGGCCCGTGGAAGCGGGGCTCGAGCTCGCCCCTTGGGCGCGGTGGTGCCGCCGCCTCCATCCCGTGGGGTCTTCGCTCCTCCGCATCGTTCCCGGGGTAACGGCCCCGGCCCACCCCTGGGGGGCTGCTGCGAGCCTCAGGAGCCGGGAAGCCAGAGGAAACTGAGGCAGGGGGCTGGGCGGGTGAGGGGCCGGGGAGTCTGCGGCGCTGCCCGGGCCAATGGCTGACACCTCTCGGCCTAATGCACCTGCCTCCTTGGGGGAACGTCCCTGCACCCCGCTGGGTCCCTGGGGCATCCCTGGGAGGGGGACACCCCAACACCGTGCAAAGGGCGTGGCCCCAGGGTGTTGCCCGGCCTCGGGTCCACAACCTCCCCCCGCTAACACCGGTACCATCCACACCCAATGCTGAGTCTGCAGCATCCATTGGTGATGTTCTGCCTGAGGGTGGCCTCTGTGCTCAGGCCCTATTTAAGGGTTAGCAGCAATAATAATGCCAATAACTGAGCGTCTTTATCTCTGTGCCAAGCATCGTGCTAAGGACTTTAAATCCTCCCTGAATTACACAACTCTGGGAGGTAGGTAGTTATCACTCCCATTTTACCAGTGAGGAAACAGAGACCAGGAAACTTAGGGAACTCATCCAAGATCATTCATTTCAGGGGCTGGGTTAGAACCCAGTCAGTTTGCCTCCAGATCCCCCAGACCCTGTCCCTGCAAACGCCTGAGGAGCAGGCCCAGCATCTGTGGTTAGGTCCCCAGGCGCTGGTGAACACTTTGCATACATTAACTCATCACATTAATCCGGTGAGGTTTGATCTCCTTGTTCTTTTGTCCCCATTTTTCAGATGAGAAAACTGAGGTTAGGGAGATAGAGCCCATTGCCAGGGTTTTAGAGTCAGCCAGTGGTTCAGCTGCATTTCCCCCGGAACCTGTGCTCTTGGCCACCCTGTTCCATCCCTGGCCTATGGCTAGGACCTCCAGCATAAACCTGATGCTCTTCCCAGCTCTGGGCCTGCTGTTTATGCCCAGCCAGACCCTGGCAGCCTTCTTTATGGGCGATGCTTCATGTAACCCAGGCAAACTCTCAGCCCTTGGAGTGACACTCCGAATCTCCTGGGTCTTTACTTTAAGCTTCTTGTTTGCAGTCTTGACTCCTTTATACCCCTTGCTCCCTGAGTAATACGTGGCCAATAATGCTGGTTCCTAGTTCTGCAACACAGTTTACCGGGTAGTGGTTAAGAGCAGAGCTTATCGGTGTGACGTATGCAAATACAGTTCCTGCCTCCCCCCGCGCTGCTGCTCTTACCAGAGATGCTGAAGGGGAGGCCTCAGTTTTGTGATCTGTACAATGGAGATAATAAAAGCCATCCTACTCTCATTGCGTGCCAGGCTCCGTCCTAAGCACTTTACAGATGCGTGAACTCAGTCAGTCCTTGCAGTGACCCTATAGGCAGGTACAGTTATCTGCATTTTACAGGTGAGAAAACTGAGGCCCATGGGAGGTAGGTCATACAGTGAGTGAGTGGCAGAACGAGATTTGAGCCCGGGAGGAGGTCTGGCTGCTAAGTGCGTGCTTTGAGCCACTCCCAGTCTCCCGGCTTTCTCTCTTCCATCTCCCCGGGTTATTTCCTCCCTGAAGTTATCAGTGATTGAAGTTATCTTGTCTCATTTGCTTGTATAGTGCCTGTCTGCCCCCACCTAGAATGTTAGCTCCCTAAGGGTAGGGACTGCGTCCTAGGACATTGGCCCATGTCTCCAGAGCTTGTGGCACATGGTGGACATGTGGTGGATTTGCTGAATGAAGGCATTTCACAGCCCAGCCCCTTATCCTGACTTCTGGCCTCGCGTCCGGGGTGGTGTCCTGTGGGCACAGCCCTAACTGAATTCTCGCCTGCCCTCCTGTCCCTTTCAGGGCGAGTGTACTACTTCAATCACATCACTAACGCCAGCCAATGGGAGCGGCCCAGCGGCAACAGCACCAGTGGTGGCAAAAATGGGCAGGGGGAGCCCGCCAGGGTCCGCTGCTCACACCTGCTGGTCAAGCACAGCCAGTCAAGGCGGCCCTCGTCCTGGCGGCAGGAGAAGATCACTCGGACCAAGGAGGAGGCCCTAGAGCTGATCAACGGTGAGTGGGTCAGGGGACAGGGTCTTAGGAGGGGTCTCTTTGCAGGTGGTCCTAGAAGTCACACCACACCCTCCTCTACTGCAGCTTGCTCAGCTATCAGGTGAGGTGTTGTGCGACACAGAAATACCTGTGCGTGACATGACCCTGGTGTACACGGCTGCCTCTCTCTTTCCATCTGGCATTTGCGGGTGAGCCAGGTAGGGGTGGAGGACCCAGCCTTGGAAGCTGGCAGACCTGGGTTCAAATAGTAGCGGTGCCTCTGTGACTCCCGGCACCTCCCCAAGACTCAGTTTTCTCCTCTGTAAAATGGGCATCATGATATACCAGCCTCTGAGGGCCATTATGAAAATTCAGCAAGGTAAGGCAGTGCATGGCACACAGAGTAATGACATCAATCAAGGACCTGAGTCACCTACGTGGGTGGGTCCAGAGGCGGGTCAGAAAGGTAGTGAGTGCAGATGTAGCCAGCAGAGCTGGTGAATTAATTCTGACCCCAGGGGAGAGGCCACTCCCTGCTCTGTTCTGTGTGTCCTCCACAGTCTGGCGCAGGGCTGGCCAACTTAAAATGCCTGGTAAATATTTTAGGTTTTGTGGGCCATACAGTTTCGGTCAGCTCCGCTTTGTAACTTGATAGCAGCCATACACGGTGCGTAAGCGCGTGGTCATGGCTTGGTGCCACTAAACCTTCATTTACAAAGGCAGACAGGACTTGGCCTGCAGGCCATAGTTCGCAGACCCCTGGTCTGGAGCTGTCCATTAATGGCTGCCACTACCCACATCCCACATGTGGCTATTTCCATGTAAATTAATTAAAATTAAATAATATTAAAAATTGGACAGAGCCGCTCGGGTGATCCCGGGGGAAGTTGCCCTGGTCGTGCTTTAAGTGTTCAGAAGCCACTCATAGGTGGCGGCTACCATCTTGCACAGCGAGGATATAAAACATTTCCATTCTTGCAGGAAGTTCTGCCTGACCACGCATGTGGGGTTTCTTCATCCACTCGACCTCCTCCACCAGAGCTCCTAGAACCCCTCTGCGCTGTTCCTATTTCAAACAAGCATTCTCTCCCCCTTGCCCAGACAGCCTTGGTTCCCATCTGGTTCTGCCAGGTCTTGGCTGTGTGACTTTGAGCAAGTTACTTAACATCTCTGAGCCTCAGTCTTTTTCACCTGTATAATTAGTATTATATTAATAGGACCCACCTCCTAGGGTGGTCGTGAGAACTCTGACCTAATCAAGTAAAGCATGAATAACAGCACCTGCCTGCTAGTGAATGTTCTGTAATTGCTAGCGGTCACTGTGACTGTGATTGTTGTCATTATTAGCACGGGGCCCAGCCCAGAGTGCATGCGCATCCCCATGTAGTGTCTGGCACCTGTTAGCTTGATACAGCATAAAAGAGAAGCCAAGTTCTCGCACAGTCTTGAAGCCAGCCTCCTGAGCTCCGTGAGGGCAGGGACTGGATCTCCTTCTCCCTGTGTTCCACCCCCCAACACAAGCCTGGCGCAGAGTTCGCGCTCACAGCCTCGTTTCCTGAGCCAGTAGGAAGCTAGAAGGATTCCCAGTAGGGAATAGGGCAGAAATAAAGGCCCGGGGCTGGGATGTAACCAGGAGTCTGGGGGAACACGTGCAGGGGGCTGGAAGGGGGTGAGACCCTTCGAGGGCAGGTCCCAGCCAGGTTGAGGAGGGCGCTTTGTCAGGTGAGGAGTTTGGGTCCCTTCCAGGAGGCAGCAGGACACACGTGGCTATGTGGGATCAGGAGAGGAGCCCAGTGATGCTGTGCTTTCAGGAAAGATCCATGTGGCTAGAAGGTGACAGGCCGGGGAAGCTGGAAGGCCCAGAGCCCAGGCTGGCTGGGTCCCAGAGCTAAGCGGTCAGGGGCGTCTGGCTGCCCCGGGGGAGGAGGAAGAAGTGGGAGGGAGCAGCCCAGAGAGACTTGACAGATGACCTCTTGGGTCCTCCCAGCTCTAGTGGTCCCTGTTCTGAGGCTTCCGGACCCCACAAGAGTGAGCGAGAGGTCATGGGCGTTTGGAGATGGGGTGGCACGTGGCACCATCACTGGTAGAGGGGACTGGGGAAGAGGCGCGGTCTGGAGGGGACTCGTTAAATCTGAGGGGCAGCTGGGAGAGGGCCTGGGGGCTAGTCGAGCAGCCAGGCCGGGGACAGAGCCGCTCAGGGTGATCCTGGGGAGAGATGGCAGGAGGCTGAGGCAGGTGGGCGCAGGACTGGGAGTGGCAGGTGAGGGTGCCACCCCCGTCTCTGGGTTGGACAGGTGTGTGGCTGGTGGGGCCCACGTGGCGGGGGGCGGGGGGCTGGGGGCTGCTGAGGGGGGGACATCGGTGGGATGTGCCTGGTAGGCAGTTAGGCCTATCAGGAATGTCAGCAGGAGCCCCACCCGCCTGCCTGTGCCAGGGGCCTGGTGGAGGCTGTGGGAGGAATCGCAGCTAAAGGCAGTGTGGCTTGAACTCGGGGCTGGGGGTGGAGGTAGCAGTGAGGGGGAGCAGATCCGGAGGATCAGGTGATGGATTAGGTGGGTGGGGTGTTGTGGAGAGGGACAGGGCAGGGCAGAACAGCAGGGCCCGCCCTGAGGTCGTACGGGGCTGGATTCCAGTGCTAGCTGTGGCCTCAAGCAGGTATCTTTGTTCTCTGGGCCTCAGTTGCCTCATCTGTAGAATGGGGACAAGGAAGATCCAGGAGGGACGGGCTCAGTGGCTGGCGCTTGCTCTCCACACGGCAGAGGCTCCACCTGGGTCATCCAGGCATGTGTGGTGGAGGAGCTGGGGTCAGGGCAGGGCCTCTGCTCACGGCAGCCCCCGTTGCTACCACGCAGCCCGTGTGAAGGGCTCTGGGCAGGGCCTCTGATGACCTTAGACCATGACCTCCCCCTGCTGGGCAGGCCCCCTTGGAAGCCATTAGGAGGGCAAGGGGAGACGGCCTCCGCGTGGTGTGCTCTCGGTAGCAAATGCTCACGTGCAATGTCAGCGAGCATCCGGCACCTGGGCCTCATTTTCTCTTCCATGGAAGTGGCTGTTCTGCCCCGGCTTGGGCTCATGCCAGGCGATCAGGAGGTCACGATCTGGGCAGCTCGCTCCTCAGCTGGCAGTACCCGTTTAGATCTGGTGCTCCTCCTCTGCCCTGAGGGGACAGAGTGCCCGTGGCAGCCAGAGCCTCCACATGTTCTGCTGAGGCTCCTTTTCCCAGCAGCGGTTCCTGTGCAGCTGCTGGGCTGCAGCCAGAGACTGGCAGGGATCCGAGGGTGTCATTGCCGGTGTCCTTGCCTGAGGAGGGCGGGCCGTGGAGAAGCCCTCCCCGCCGGCTCCCCATCCCTCCACCCCGGCATGCCCAGTGCCTGAGGGTCCCGGGGAGGCCCAGGGTATGAGCAGCATCCTCCCCACATACCCACCCCACGATCGGTGTCTCCAAGGTCAGTGGCACCCTTCCAACCTGCTGGCCTCGGGCTAGGTCACTCTGGGCCCCTCCTGCTGGATCTTGGGTCTTCTGGGACCTCATCCTGTCACCTCTTTCTCTGACCAGGCCTCTTCCCCCATGGTGCCTGGGTGGCTTCAGACTCTGACTCAGTGAGGCAGAGCAGGGAATTTGTCTCCAAATTCTTTAAGTCATTATGGTGTATCAGCTGTGGCTGCCATAACACAAAATGCCACTGAGTGGCTTAAACAAGAGACATTTATTTTCTCATAGTTCTAGGGGCTAGAAGTCCAAGATGAAGGTTCCAGCCAATTTGGTTCCTGGTGAGGGCCCACTTTCTGCCTTGCAGACAGCTGCCTTTGCTCACCGCGTTCACGTGGGGACGGAGCACAGGCTCTCTGCATCTCTTACAAGGGCACTAATCCTTCTGGATCAGGGCCCCACCCTTATGACCACATTTAACCCTAATTACTTCCATAAAGTCCCCAGCCACACTGGGGATTAGGGCTTCCTTGTATGAGTTTGGCGGGGACACAAACATTCAGTCCATGATAGATGGATGGACAGCTCGGATCTGTCCAGGGCCTGCTCTGTGCCAGCCATTGCTCGACTGGTCACTCATTCACCCCTCGGAATAGCCCTCCAAGGTGGGAGCCACTGTTAGCCCATTTTGCAGGCCAGTTGAGTGAGGCTCCCAAGAGGCAGAGTCACCTACCAGACTGGCCTTGTTCAGGAGCAGCAGAGCTGGGTTCTGAACCATGAGCTGGAGTCCAGAGTTGGCCCCATAACCCGTCTGTCCTTGGCCTGGGGAATGTGCCGTGAGCAGGCTGGCCTGGATCTGCCAGCAGAGACTGGCACCGTTCTGGGTTGCGTACATTTCTGCGGCTCCTGAACACCTCGGAGCGGGCGGAGGGCTCCTGCTCCAGACTGAGAGCTCCCGGAGAGGCTGCCCTGGGTCTGAGTGGTTCGAGGCTGGAACCCTGTTGGATCAGGGTTCCATGGGCGCTGTCTCGGGGAGGGGTGTTGGTGTGGTCGGAAAGGGCCAGGGGAGGCCCGGGAAGTGTGGCTTTAGCGTTGCAACCTGCGGTTCGTGCAGAGAAGGCATGAGATTCTGGCATGCCTGCCCCTGTCTCCCTCCTTCCCCGTGGCCTATTTCTGTCTCATTTACTCATGAACTGCTGAGCATTCGTGAGCACCTGCTCTGTGCACAGTGCTGGGTTCTGGGGCTGCAGCAGTGAACAAGGCCGGCCCAGCTGCCCTGTCCTCCCACTGTGAGGCAGGCGGGCGACCCACAAACAGGACGGCAGTGAATGCAGCGCCCACGTGGAGGCATCTCCCACCGGGGGGCTTAGGGAGGGCTTCCGGGAGACCAGGGAGCAGCAGGTGAGTTTCAGGTTGGAAGAGACACTTACTCAAAGGCCTGGGGCTGGGGAGGGAGAGCAGGGCGGAGGGTGGGAGGGATGTCATCGTGGTGGGGGGGGGCAGGCACAGGCTGAAGTGAGGACAGCTCAGGGACACACAGAACGAGACCCCCGAAGGTCAGCCTTGAGGAAGAGGAACTTGGAGAGAAAGCGCTTTTAAAAACTGCTGGGGAGGTCGAGGCAGGAGGATCGCTTGAGCCCGGGACTTGGAGGCCAGCCTGGGCAACACAGGGAGACCCCGTATCCTAAAGAGAAAGCAGAAACCGTCATTCCAGGCTCCTGTCAAAGCAGGATGTTTTCTGAGAGCGCTGGCTAGTCGGAGACAGATGTGGGTGGTATGAAGTATGGGGCGGGGGCCACAGCGTGGCTTTTATTCTCTCTGGAGTGGCGGTGGCTGCACACTGTGTGTGTGAGAACCCCATGCGGGCTGTCTGGGCTCGGGGATCCCTGCGGCTGCGGCTCTGGCCCCAGCTGCTGGGATGCAGCAAGGTGACGCTGGTGCAGGGCTTGGGGCTGGGCCTGGCTCCGCAGGTGCTTGGTGCCTCCCAGAGACAGGTGAGTACGCCGGGGGACACTGTGTGACCAGGATCCCCAGCTGCTCACTGTGGCCCAGACAGGAGGGAGGCAGGGGATACCCAGAAGTCCAGGGAGAGCAGGAGCCATCTGGTTTGGGAGGAGTTGCCGATGGATGCATGTGGCCCAGGGGGACCCCCAGCAGCCCCAGTGGGGGCGGGGGTGGGTTACAGGCAGAAGCCACAGCAACGTGTAGCCCAAATGGAGGTTGGGGCCTTGTAGGGCATCGGTGTCCCTGTCTGACAGGCACCAGGCAGTGCCTCACAGTGACGGCCAGAGCTGCCTGAGGCACCGGCCAGGGCGTCCAGGGACAGGCAGAAAGAAGCAGGGCCAGCTCTGTCCTGGGATGCGTAGTGCACCCGGAAGGAGAGTGGCAAAGGTCTTGCTCGGGGCTGGGCACCATGCCGTGTGTCACAGTGGCCTCCGGGCACACAGCTGGGGGTCAGGCTGGGAGGCAAAGCGGGGGTCAGTGGCAGGGGCGGCAGGTTCCACATCCTGATGACGTGCAGATCGGACGCCAGGACACTGGTTGCTGCTGTGATGCGCAGCCAGACAGCTATGGTTGTGCTCCCGCGGTCGTGTCATTTCAACCAAGGTCCCAGGCAGGTGGATCGTGGTGGCATTTAGGTTAGTCTGAGGCCCTCGGGCCCGGGGAGGTTTGGACCAGCCCAGTGTCAGGCAGGGCCTCCCAGCACCGGTTACATCAACCAGCAGAGCCCCAAGGCTCAGACAGGGTCCAGGCAGGTGTGTCACGGCCTGGCCTTGTCTAGGTCGGATGGCAGGAATGGGTGGAAGCGTCAAGGTGACCCTCACACCCGAAGAGAAGAATTGCCGCTGGTGGGCTGTGTCCTGGGAGAGCAGCTGCCAGGCCAGGCGGGGAGGTGGGCAGGGCGCCAGCTCACCTGGATGGCTGCTCCAGCTTGCTGGGGCTGTCACCCTGGGGACTCAGGGGAGTCACTGGTAAGGACACTGTGTCACAGCAAGAGGAGATGTGGGGGGTGGCCTCCGGCCCGCAGGCACCTGTCTGCCTCGGGGGCTGCCTGGACTCAGGGTGGCCCGCTGCCCCTCCACTTGTGGCACGTGACAAGTGTGTACACACACACTCTCTTGCAGGCACACGTTCGCACCACACGTACCACGTGCACACACATGTGCACACGCAGTCCTCCTGCTCCCTGCTCCCCAAATGTGAGTCACACAGACGGGGTGGCACCGTGGTCGCTTGCCCCTCTGCTGGGAACCCTTTTCCTCAGAGTCACCTTTCACCTTCCTCCCACCAGCCCTGGCCCCCCTCCCTCCAGGAGACTCGCACCTGATGGGGCAGGTCTGGGCCACACAGAAGGGGGGTCCATCAGGGCTCTGCCAACGCACCCTGTCAGGGGAGCTCAGAGAAGAGTCATGTCACCTGCACCCGGGGCCACAGTCCATGGGACTGACGCATGTCCCTTGCGGAGCCCCACAGGGCACCTGGGGGCCCAGCAAGTGCTGGGCTGTTCCGCCCACTTTCCGCGGATGGGATGGCTGAGGATGGGACGGCTGAGGCCCACGCGCTGAGGACCCAGCTCTCCCACCTCTGCCCCGAGGGGCCGGGGGGCTCAGTTCCCTGCCGTGGGGTCCAGTCCCTCTCCGGCCTCCTGTCCTTCTCTGCCCCGTCGGGGCTCGGAGGTAGATTTTCTCCCAAGCGTGCGTGTGTGGGGAGTGGGCGGCCGTGCTGTGCCTGTGTGTGCACGCGTGTGGGAGGGCGGCTCAGCTCCCCCCCACCCTGGAGCCTCTGTCCAGGCCTGCCCTGCCCTGCCCTGCCCTGCGTGGAACTCTCCCTGTCCTGTGTCCGCAGGCTACATCCAGAAGATCAAGTCTGGAGAGGAAGACTTTGAGTCTCTGGCCTCACAGTTCAGCGACTGCAGCTCGGCCAAGGCCAGGGGAGACCTGGGTGCCTTCAGCAGAGGTGCGCGGGAATGGGCGCTGCCAGGGATGGCCTCTGCCACTCGGGCCCTCCGGGTCCACCAGGTGGCAGCACAGTCCCCGCCTCGGAGGCTGCCCTGCTGCAGGGGCAGGCAGGGCCCGCACTGGGTGGCTGGTGCGGATCCTTCTCCCTGCTGTGGGCCCCTGGGGTCCCCGCACAGATGTCTCATCAGGGCCCACCAAGGTGGGTGCATCCTGTCGTGTGCCTCTCCTCCTGTCGGGGAGCCCCCCGGGCATGTCCCCGAGAGTCCCCCACCTGACCCTCCTCGCAGGTGAGGAAACCAGACTACCGCCTCATCTTCCTCCTCCTCCTCCTCCTCCTCCTCCTCGTCCTCCTCCCCAGGATGAGGTGGGGGTGGGGTGTGCAGGCACCTGAGGTGGGGGCGCCAGATGGGGCAGGTGGTGTGGGAGGGGCTGGGAACGCAGCCGGGGGAGACGAGTTTTCTACCAGAATGTGTCTCTCGGCGCACAGCAGCGGCAGCAGCTCTGCCTGCCGTCCCTCATGCTGCGTCGGCTTCCCAGGGCCTCGGTAATGGCCCCGCGCCCCCAGCTGGGCCTCCGCCCAGCACCGTAACAGGGCCATAAACCTGGTGACGCATGAGGGACGAGGGTGGACACGCGCAGGCAGCGGCCCCATCTGCCGTCCCCCTGCCTGGCCCTGACCCCCCACCGTCGCTCACGCTCCCCAGGTCAGATGCAGAAGCCATTTGAAGACGCCTCGTTTGCGCTGCGGACGGGCGAGATGAGCGGGCCGGTGTTCACGGACTCCGGCATCCACATCATCCTGCGCACGGAGTGAGGCGCGCGGCGTCCCCGCCCTGCTGCCGCCGTCACACAGTATTTATTGTTCCCAAAATGGCTGGGAGGGGGGCTCTTCCAGTCTGGGGGCTCTGGGGCCCCACTCCCGGGCTGCCCCTGCCAGGCTCCCCCTTTAAAGAATTGACTTCAGAAGGGCAGCGGGGGCGGGGAGGCTCCCGGGCCCAGGGGTAGGGGGTGTCCCGAAGAGAAGGCCGGGTCAGCGGAGCCGCCCTGTGGCCCCCGGGGTCCTGGAGGCAGACGGGGGTCCCTGGGTCATTGTTTCTAGTTAACGCCACGTTCCTCTGTTCAGCTGCAAAAAGCAAACGCCCTGTGCGGCCCACAGCTCTCAGAGCCCTCCCTGAGCGGTGGCGCCACGCCCTTTGCCACCCCGATTAAACCTGGAACCACTGCTCCACTCTGCTGGTCTCATTTCCTCCCTGGGGCGGTGTGGGGGGAGGGGGATCGTGGCCCGCCACCCCAAGTATCCCCGGGTTCAGGCTGCCCATCCTTCCACGGGAAGCCTCCCCTCTCCCTGGGCCTGACTCTTGGGGCAGTGGGGCGCCTGTCTGGCTGCAGCGGTTCTCAGCTCAGGGTGTGCCACGCCATCCCTGGGTGCCCTCTGCACGGCCCCCAACGCCCTGCACTCCTAGGCTGCTCTCCAGTTAGAAGGAATCGGACCCAGAACCCCGATGCCTGCTTCCCCACTGCCGCTAGCGCTTCTGGAAGGTTGTTCTTGGGTCCAGCAGCCAGACCCAGCACCCTCTGCAGATGCTGTTACCATGGCAACACGGCCCTCCCAGACAGAGGGGAGGCGGCTCCTGCCAGGCACCTCTGGGCGCAGGGATCCTGGTGGGAGGGGCTAGGAGCGGAAGGCAGCGTCCAGTGGTCCAGTGCTATGGGGAAAAAGGAATCCCTGGGGTGAGTGGCAGGCAGGTGGCGGCTCCCTCCTCAGTGGCTGTGGGTGTGGCCCATCTGTCCCCATCCCATGTGCCAGGATGGGGCCCAGAGTCCAGTCGAGGGGTTGTGGGAGAAGCGCTTATGCCTGCCCCAACCCCCGCGCCCCCACTTGATGGTGACCAGCCCAGCTTGGGGGGTGCCCGGCTGGCAGGGATGGGGACCTGAGGAAAATAAATAAAGCCCGACTCCAAGGGAGCCTCCCCCCTTCCCGGGCTGAATCTCTAATAAAGGCCCAAGTCTCATAAACAATCACCTGCGCCTACTCCCATCTGGCTGGTTTCTGGAGCAATCGCTCACCCTGCCTGCCGCCTGCCTGCTGGAGCGTTTGTCATTAGGAAGGTTTAATGGGATTCCGCTCAGCCCTGGAGGGCTGGGGAGCTGGCTGGTTGGCTGCACCTCCAGGCAGAACGTTCTCCTGCCACCTGGGGGGGTCCATGAGGCAGCAGCCTCAGCCCTGGCACCCATGGGGTGGGGTTGGGGAGCGACTGCACCCCTCCTGGTACAGCGGAGTCCCCGGGAAGGATCAGAAAGCAGTGACTGGGGACCCAGAGGGTTTGCCGAGTTCCCCGCCAAGGCGAAGGATGGGCTTTGTGTCCTGTCAACAGTGAAGGCCCAGGGGACGATCTGCCCTGACGGAGAGGCTGCCAGGGAGGGGCATGCATTACCCTGCGTGGGGGCCACGCCCTGTCACTTTGGGCTTCCACGTGTGTGTGTGTGTGTGTGTGTGTGTGTGTGTGTGTGTTTGCTTGCCTGAGCGTGCACGTGGCCACATGACTCTAGCTATCTCTGTGTCCTGTGCGATGCTGGGCGTCCCCCTGTCTGAGTGTGACTGACTCTGTGCCCCTCTGGGCCGCCCCCTTCCCTTGTGGGTCTTGGCAGTGGCCAAAACCCAAACAAGAACGTCGCCCTTAAGTAAACATGCCTCCGGAGCCCACTCAGTGTCCGGGTGACTCATTATTAAGTGGCTGTGGTTTCCCTCACCTCCATATTCCCGCCCACCCCCTCCTGCCCAGGATCGGGGTGTAAATCAGATGGTGACAGTGTAGTCTTCCCTGGGGTCCTCTCTGGCAGGCATCTCCAGAGCAGACCTGCCCCAGAGGGCTGAATTCCGCTCCCAGGCAGTGCGCATCAGCCCTGGCTTCCTTCTGCGGCCATCAGGCAGGGCCCAGAGCAGGTCACTCCAGGGCAAAAGGGGTTACTGTTCCTGAGTGGGGGTTGGCTTCCCCACTGCGGGTACACATCCGTGCTGTCCCGAGTTAGCCGCAGACAGCCTGACACACACACACGCACGCGCACACACACACACAGATGGATCCTGGCCTGCAGAGTGGGCTTGTTAGTCCTGCCCCTCCTAGGGGTGCTGAGGTGGGGGCTGGGGGGCAGGGAGCACCTGTTTGAGGACCTGGTGTCCAGGTGTGACAGGCACGGCCACCTCCATCCCTGATCTCGACGTGACAATGTGGCGCCCCAGGTGTAAGGGTGTCGTGGACAGAGATTGTTGAATTCAGTTCTCAACCTCAGTGTTGGGTGATTCAGTATCGGAGACCAACAAATCCCCCCACCCCTCCACCTTGGAGATTTGCCTCCAAATAAATGTAAATTGCTGTGTGGGGGCTACAGATGTTCTCCGCGTGCCAGCCCTGTGCTGTTTTTTCCTTTTCTTCCACTTTTTCGGCAGATCCGGAGCAAAGTGCCTCCCCACCTGCTAATGCAGGAATCCATTCTCTCCCCCTCCCACGTCCAGCGTGTTTATTTAAATGGAAATTAATTGCTTTTCCCGAGGATTTCTTTAAAAATTGGTTTTAAATGAGTGCATTAGGCAGCCCCATTTATTATTCATTGGTTTGGTTCCCAATATGGCCCCGATATCCGAGTTCCGGGAGAGGAGATGCCAGCACGGAGCAGAGATGATTTAATCGGGGAGGCCATTAATTAGAGGTGGGGAGCGTGTCCTCCCAGAGGAGCCGGAGGCCCCCTCTGCCGCCTCAGCAGGGTGGGGTCTGGGTGCCTGGGGCTCTCTGCATGACATCCCAGCTCTGGATTCAGCTCGGGGATGGGGGGTCAGCCCCTCCTTCACTGCACCATTCATTCTCAGCCACTCAGCCCCAGGGTGACTCTCCCCACTCTTCTCGCACCCCTTCCCGCTTGTCCTTTATCCTCCTGACGCCTCACTGGCGCCCAGCCTCACCCCTCTGAAATCCCCCTCTCCGCTTTTAGCAGGATCTAAAGGTTGCTGAGAGTTTAGCCTCTTCCTGCCTCCCTCATCCCTCCTGCCTCCAAGACGTCCTGTCTTTGCCCGCCCATCCCCCCCAAGAGCGCTGGTCCCCACAGTTAGGGACCGTCCCCTGCCCAAGCCCCTTCCAGGTAAACGGGCTCCAGGTATGTGTTGTGCATTCACCCAAAGGCACCAAGGACCCCTTTAGGCTGTTTCTAGCTTTTTGTTCTTACTCAGAACAGATGTGACTAGTTCAAAAACGATTTTTGCAATTACAAAGCAGAAAAAGAGAAGAAAGAAAAAGGGGAAAAATTCCATTGGGCCCTTACCCCTCTCTTACCCAGCTTCTTAGGAGCCAGCCCAATTGTTAAAAACCCATTAAAACATTGCCAGACCACTCAGCGAGGCACCGGCGTGACCCAGGAGTGGAAAGAAGGCGAGTGACGGGAAGAATGTTCGTTGGAGGCCAGTTTTCATCATTCTGATAGAATTCTGGGTTGTTTTGATCAAATTGCTTTTAAACAAATTGCTTGCAATCGAAACAACTCTAGATTGGGTCTCCCCAAAGGGCTTGCCCCGGGCTGCTCGCCACTGCACACCCCCATCCCCGTGCTGGGTCTGTCTGCCCGCCCCACCGCAGTGCGCTTCACCTTTGAACCTTAAGTTATGGAATAAGGGGGTCTCCGGGCTTGGACTCAGCCACCGCCTCCGCCTCTGCGCCCCGCTGGACACAAAGACCCATCGAAGCATCAAATGTCAAAGGTCCTGTTTATTCCGGCAGCCCGGAAAGAAGAAGTGTAAATAAAAAAGAAACAGATCCATGCATTCAACTCCTGGGGGTGAGGGT